CAGTGGAAAATTACCTTATCAATACCATTAAGTGAGAATAGCACTTGAAGAGACCTTTATTGTACAGTCCAAACTACCTGCATTGCCAAAGGCTAATAAAACCTTGTCATGAAGCTTAATATAGAACGTCACACATCCAGAATAGGATGCACTTACTACATCATGATGCATCATGACATGCGCTTGCTGTTCATTATGTAAAGCCTGGGTAAAGATACCTTTTCAACTTTAAGAACATAATGAACTTTTAAGTAGTATAGACATGAAGTCAGTACAGAAATTGGCAAGGCAAGAAGGTCACATACACAATAAAATACGTTGGCACAGGCTCCACACACAATGGACAAAAGAAAAGAAAACAACAGGGGGTGTGGGGGAAAGACCTATCTAGGCTGAATTCACAGTGGCTGGTGGCTGGTGGCTGGCGAGCCTAGTCAGTGTGAGATGTAAATGCAGAGCAGTAGTTTTCTAGGACACTCTTCAAGGAGCTAATTTCCAAGTTTTTCTGGCACAGATGTCCACTTAGTAAACAGACATCCAACTCAGGGTGGTTGCTCCTTCCACCAGCAGCTACATTGTTGGAAAGGTGTTTGGTCCTTCCAGGAGAGGGAAGATTTTTGGTGCAAATACTGCCCATTGTGGGGAAAAAAAGGCAGAGATTCACGCAAAGCATTTGTAACTTCAATAGGGGGTGGCTGGAATATTCTTACACTTTCTGTGTTAGAAACACAAGCTTGGGGAAGGCTTCGCTAACATATGATTGCTTTGAATTCCTGCTCAAAGTCTGCTTGCTAAGACGCTGCAGCCTGACCTTTTGTTTGTGAATTATAATAGAGATGATACCAGGTACGGAAGACAGACAGAAGCTTCTGTTTGTTATACCAATCCTGCTGGTATCCCCTCAGAGCTTTTTTCTAATCAGTTGCTTCTTGGGATCACCCTCTTTGAAGGTCCTACCAACAGCAGGTGTAGATAAGGGCGCCTAAGCACAGTGCCGTGAGCATATAGGCCTAGTCACCCAAATAATTTTAGATTTAATCAGAGTAGGCACTATAACTGGCCAGTTTGACTAAATGGAAACTGGAGGGTCAGTAGAAGCCACCAGGATGAAACTCGGAAGGTCAAAACCCAACTGTATACGTATCAGTGAAATGCCTGTGTTTTGGACAGGAATAGTTACAGGCATCATAACATTTTGTGAAGCTCAGGGAATAAGCTCTCCTAAGTGCTGCTGAGCTAGTGCATATAGTGTACATTGTTTTATTATATGCATTTGACTGATTTTTTGTTAAAATCTGGAATGGCTACTGATAAACAGGGAATAACTTGAGAGACAATTAAATGAAATTTACTGGCATATATTTTGATGTGACTGTTTGCTGAACAACAGGCTATCATGAAGCTCTACAATTATAAAATTGTATTACACTGATTTTATAACCCAAGAAAGCAAAAAACACCATCCCTTTTGTAAAGTTTCATTACATGCAACCATGTTTAGCAGAAAGCTCCACTGGGTTCAAACCATAAACCGAGAAGTGTCAAATGAGATCAGCCAATTTCCCCTCTTGAGCAAATCATTTGCATGTCAGACTCAGATAGTCTCACCAGGCAAACTGAAAGCAGGTGCTGGCAAAATCCTTTTCAACGCCACTATTCCTCTGTTGTTTACAGAAGCATACACACAGGCACTGTGCACAAAAGGAACTGTTTGCTCAGTTTAACTGTTTGCTCAGTTTTCTGTCTAAATAGCCAGCTTTTTCATGATCTTTATTGCTCGTCACACCTGCTCTGTAAATGCAAATTCTCTTATGTTCTTGGGAGTAACACCTCACGGGCAGCTGCAGCTGAACCAGCTGAGCAATAGTCCACAAAGGCCCTGGATAGCACCAACCTGGAGATTTATTTAGCGTTTGTCAGCTGACTGCTAGGTGGAAACTTGGAAGTGCAGACATAGGAGGAAGTGGAGAGCATTACCACACGCCTGCACAAAGCTTCATTCAGGTGAAAGCCGTGACAGTATTAAATTCATACACACACGCACACACACGCAAAACTTCGTCTTTTCTGCAAGTCTAATGAGAGTTACTAACTTTCATGTTCTGCTGAGAGGGAGCTTTGTAATACTTCCCCCTCTGAGAGTGCCAGCTGCGTCCTTCACACCAGCAGTATCATAAACTTGATACCCCTCAGCCCAAGCCAGTTCAGGCAACTAATTTGACAGAAAACTAATTCAACAACCCCTCAACCCAACCAGCCTCTCTGAATACACATTATTTTTTCCCCCTCCTTTCTGCTACCTGTGAAAATGCACAAGAAAATAACAGCTGGGAATATGGAAGAGGGGAGAAAAGGAAAGCAGGCCTCTTCCTCTTGACATCAGCCTGAAGACAGATGAATTCCAAAACATCAGAAAAATCTCTCTTTGCCCGACTCCCACCCACACCAGAAGCAGCTTTTTGTTGCTCTTCGCTGCTGGCGTTACTTCCCGCCCCAACAGGACTGGGGCAAACCCCTACTCTTCAGTCACAAGATGGAATCACAGGATTGAAACCACTCCACTGACACTTCTAAACTTTGCCCCCGCAGGGTCATGCGTGTGTTCTGTCCCCCAAGTTTGGAAGTACTGCAGAACTACACGCTGCCCAGCTGTGCACTGACTTCTGAAGAGTATCACGGCCTCGTTACATCCTCCTCCTCCCTCTAGGAAAAGGAGTGAGGGTAGCAACCAAAGAGAAGAGATGAGATGGACAGAGTGAATTGCGTCAGTGAGCTGATGTGACCATAGCGTCACAAGCACTAAGCGCCACTTCTTTATTTGGAGCGTAATTTGCCTCTCCTCCATTTGAAAGGCACTGAGACACCTTTGTCCAGACTCGCCTCCCCTGGCACGCTGCCGCAATGGGCTAAAGGGCACGCATCCACCTCTGATTACTCATTCACTCCGGTTATTATTTTGTTCGCTTATGGCTAATGATAAGGGGTTAGCTTTATGTACCTGCTTTATATAAGGCACATGCCAAATATTCTCTCTTCCCTTGTTTCCCTATAGCAAAGCACATCTTTGCTGATGTAATAGGGTAACAGGCTAACACAGGTCAGCAGGTGAGTATAATCAAGTTTCACCTTTGATAAAAGTGACTTGTGTCATCGATTTTTAAACCGCAAACAGAACTACAGACTTCTGTTATCCATACAGAATTAAAGGGAAGTAGAGAAGGGAGAGAATGAGGTTGGAGTTCAAAACATTGCATAAGCTGTGTAACTGTGGAAAAAATAAGAGAGTAGGAAAAAGGATGGAAAAAGAAGAAAAAATAACTTATTTCAATAGTTTCCTTCTGAAACTAAGAATTCCAATAATCTCACGAGAGCTGAGGAAGGAAAAGCAGAGGCTGCAATAGGCAGAACAGTCAGATCTCACAGATTTCTGATGGACCATGCTCACACATGAATCTTGAGCCAGGCAGGCATGTTAGAGAGCCTCAACATTAAGCTGCCTCAACATTACAATACTCATCTAATATCCTTCAAGGAGGAATCACTTGAGAAAACTATCAAAGTTTCCTCCAAACTTTGGGGGCCAAATTAGCTCCTACTGTTCTGTTGCTACAGTCTGGGAAGACCTTGAGTACAGCCACATAAGAGGAAGCACAACAGCAGCATGCAGTTCCTAACCCTTTGTGTTTGGTACAGGGTTTTTCACAAGCTTTGTACTGTGAGATATGAGTGTACTCAGATCATGCGTATCATGTTTGACTAAAACTGGTGGATGGAATTGGGTTGATCCAGATTATAGCGCCAAGTTGCTTGTTTCAAAAAAGTTTATTTAAACAAAGTAGGTACATTTCACAGAAATGGTTATAAAATGCATAGCATATTATAAACAATACTGTTACTTTACAGATACTAGTTGTTATTATCCTAAATATTGCATTTTAAAAACTAACCAGCCTGCTTGGTAAATCAGAAAGCTAAAAATCCCCAGTTATCACATCTTAGGCACTGTGAAAAAAAATAGTATAACAAAGCAGGTGTCCACTTTTTCATTCACTCTACTGACTGTTTGTATTGCTGCATCATTAATTCGCCAGTTCCTATTATGTGGAAAGATCTGGTCCCTGGAGTCACACACTGAGATTAGATTTCCACTGACTGGAGCACAAATTGCACTTGCTCAGCCAACCAAAACCCCACGCAAACCCAAGGAAAGCTGACTGAGGGTCTTCACACTGATTAACTTAATAGACAGAGACTGTATGAGTGGACCAAAAATGTAGCAGTTTTTTCTAAGTTGTGCAGATGTGTCACACCCATACTGCTATTCATAAGCAACTTGATTGTAAGTTGGCAAGTCCATACATATTTCAAGCTTGACTTCAATGGAAACTGGATGTGCAGCAGAAACAGACCTTACCCTCAGTGGTGATGCAGTGCCACAGAAAGTGGAATTGAGCCCTTTTACAGCACCTGAGAACTGAGCAGATCTTGAACATTCAGAACTTCACATGAACAAATCCAGAGGTGTCTGTTTGCTGATCTTTGGGATGCCAGGGCACAAAGAAGTAAAAATGAAGAGCACAGCACCGATCCATAACCGTAGCTGAGACGGACATCAGGTCATTCACACAACACTTCAGCACATGAGTCATGGCTGAAATTCTTCCCATTTACACTTCTATGACAAAAGGCAGAAAGCAAATGTTGAGGTAAAAGGAGTTGCGCTAGGTTTGCACTGGTGTAAGCAAGTCTAAAATCAAGCAAGCTATAAAATCCATTAATTCACACACAACAGACAAAGAAAAATCCCCTTATTTTCAAAACATATAGATACATGCTCAAGAATAAACTGACTTTCTGCATTATGACATGAGCTTTACAGTAGTTCAAGCTTGGCTTGGACTGAAAACGAAGAAGCTTGAACTCTGGCCAGCAGAGCTCCTTTGGAACTGTTTGTCAAGAGAGAAGAATGAGGTCTGAAGCAGTCCAAGAACATCAACGTTTCAGTCACCATCTTCAAGTAGTTTTTGTAAGTTGTTCTGTATCTTAGAAAAAGAGAGAAAAATAATTGGTGGGCAGGAAGTGTTATACTGCATTTAAAAAAATAAAAAATAAAAGGAAGACATACTCTTCGATATACTCCCTGTGTGCATGTTAATTCTGTCACAACTATTCATACCAATGGTATTCATGTTAAATGCTTCCTGCACTAGAGTTAAAGGAAACATCTGGATATAGTCAGCCAGCAGCACACCCAGCTTCCATATTATGAGAATCTCCTGCAATTTCCTCCTATAGACTTTCTCCTTCATTAGGTATGAGAAAATAAGATAGAAAAAAACCTAGAGCTAGAAAGAAAGGGACAAGAAACCGAGTTATTTTCAACTTGATCAAAACCCAATAAAAGCCTCAAACTTCGAAGTCGCAGCTCTCAGGTTTAAGTGGATAATTAAAATAGTTTTGTAACAGCATCAGCTACACAGCCAGCTATGACGCATGGGCAGTAAAATAAGATCTTCTAAGCATTAGCAGACATGTCCCATTTGCCAGATTCAGTGTATTGACCATGAGTTATCTTCCCATCGTTATACTGAAGGCAATGCCAGCCAGTCGCATCAAAGATGATTTGCGCAGACCTATTTTACACAGCCCATTTATACACCTTTCATCTCCTTGTTCTTAAAAGCAGAAAGAGGGGAATATAGTAGGTCACATCCCCTGGCACACATGTTCTCTCTGTCTTAGTAACTAGCAGTCACTGGCTACAGAAGGTTTAGTCACACCTACTTTCAGACTTTAATTTGAGGAGTATTGTACTTCCTGTTCAAGGATACCATTTATACCTCATGATTTCTAACCCAGATGCTCACCTTCTTCAAGAGGGGCTTTTTGGGGAAAGGAAAACAGTAAGAACTGCCTAATTTTATAAGACTGATTTAATGTATACACAGGACTTTCCTTTTAACAAGCTCCATTAAAGTAAGGGAGTGAGTAACATTAGGTGATGTTTTCCCTCCCCCAGTTTAACACTTTATCCTCTGATAGACACAGTGCATTTTAACAACCTGTTAAATACGCTTAAATGACAAAGCAAAATTCTGCTAAGCCATGGAAATTCCTTGGCTCCAAGTATGAAGCACAGCTTGTAAAAATCATGAGGTCACACCGAAAAAGTCACTGCAGCATACTCTTGCACTGAACATTTTTTACATGGAGAGTAATTTTTAGTTTTTAACCTAGATAATTTCTGTGCTCTAGTTTACAAAGCTGCAGTCACACAAGAAGCGGGGGAAGAGACAACAAGTTACACTGGAACTTTTATGCTACCTTTGCTGCTGCAACCAGTTACTGGCACTTTTCACTAAGGCACACGAAACAGTTAAGCAACTGCAGTAACTTTGCTCAGAGAACATAAAACTATTAGATTTATACCAGTTTTGCAGTACAAGAGTAGGGTCAAACAACCTGTTCTAACCACTGCCCATCTAGATTAGAGAGGACTGAGATGTGGCAACATGCAGCGACAGGCAATACTCATTTAGCTTGTATGCACAGCAGTTGATTGTGCCCTAAGTATTTGGCAAATACAAGGTAAGACTTTAAGGGTCCAATCCTGTAGACACTAACTGAAAAAAGCACATGACTTAAGATTCTAATTCAGGACTAATTCAGGGTCACTTCTCTGGGAATAGCTGAATGATCCAACCATCCAGCTGCCTTTTACTGTGTCTCCAAGCAGAGACTATATAAGGGAGTGGGAAAGTGCCTTGCTGCAAAGGGCTGGCTGGCTTCCCACTGGAATGAAGTGAGGTCTCCCATGACCCATCTTGCCAGCCTGTCCCAGACAGCTGGAAAGCAGTAACCTCTTAAGTGACCCAATTTGGCTAAAGATTGTATCTGGTAATCATCTGGTAAGCATTTTCCCCTTGTATTCACATTGTTATTACCCAGAGCATACAGAGGGGTTGTGCCAGCAATATTACTCTAGACTTCCACAGCCAAGGGGGTGGAGATGTGGGGGGAAGAAACCTCTTTTTGGCAGTCTTTGTAAAACCTATGCCATACAGGTAACCAGCAGTATTATGTGATCTTATCTTTATGCTATTTGAGAAAGTTAGTTTGGGAAAAAAAGGTGTTGAAAGACTTCGGCATGCACTCTGTTTTAGAAACAGAGGCAAAAATATCCCATGTGACTTAAGCACACAGGAATTCAAGTAACTTTTGGTTTTGCTCCACTAATATTTTTCCCATGCTTGGCCAGTGTATGTGTTCCATTTCATTCACCTGCAGTGGGTGTAGTTGTCAAGGTTTGAGGGCAGGACAGGGGGGCTGCAGGGGCAGCTGCTGTGGGAAGAGGCCAGGGCCTGCCCCATGCCAGACAAAGCTCTTCCAGCAGCCTCCAATGGACCCACAGCAGGGCACAGATGAGCCCCTCAGCCAAGATGGTGGTGGAGCCTCTGGAAAAGTGTATTTAAGAGAGGGGAAAAACACCAAACAGAGAGAAGAGGAGAGTAAGAGGGTGAGAAACAACAGAAGGAACACCAAGGTCTGAGAAGGAGGAGGAGGAGGAGCTCCATGGTAGAGAGTGTCCACACTGCAGCCCATGGGGAACCCACGCCAGAGCAGGCGGTTATTTCCTGAAGAACAGGAACCCTTGGAGGAGCCCAGACTGCAGCAAGGGAAAAATGGGAAGAAAGAAGCAGCAGAGAAAAAAAAAAAAAACTACTGAAACCCCCATCAGCCCCACTAGGGGGGCTCGGAGTGGGGTGAGGAATCGGGAGCAAAGGAGTGAAGTTGAGCCTGGGACAGAGGGGAGGAAAGGTGTTGTTCTATCATTTATCTGTCTTTGTCACTACCCAAATCTGTTTTAACTGGCACTATCTTAAATTGATTTTCCCCAAGTCGGTTCTGTTTTGCCTGCAATGCAAATGGTATGCAATCTCCCTGCCTTTATCTTGACCCACGAGCCTTCTCCTCCTGTTTTCTCCCCCTGCGCTGCTAGGAAGAGGGAGTCAGAGAGCAGCTGGGTGGGCATCTGACTGCTGGCCAAGGTTAGCCCACCACAGCACCTAAAGTGGAAATAAAGTCTGCATACCCACTCTTGTTTTGCAGAGGTTTCCAATTTAAGTCAGCAAGTGCATTTAGTTCTGTATTTAGAGAATGGTAAAAAGTAAAGGTCAAGTATAGGGAATTACACAACTGCTCCAGCAGCATTTGTTTTATTAAAGTGAAACAGGCAGATTCCGGCCACTTCATATGAAGAGGCTGACTACATATGAAAGTCAGCATTGTTTTTCTTAATCAAAAAAACAAAACTCAAAAAAAAGCCCCAGACAGAAAAGTTCATCAAATAGTAATACAGGGTAAATTCAGAATCCTTAGCATTAATGGACAAAAAAAAATATTTGAGATCATTACATGCTGTAATCACCACTGAAGTGTCCTGTGTATTAGTATTCCTGGCTGTAAGCCTCAGCTTAAGGCAAAACATTTTTACCTACCAATGCTTGTGCTCGGGCTAATTTATAGTCCAAAATCCAATCCTTTGTCTAGAAAAATCATGCCAGCTTCTGGTATCAAATTGGGGGGTAGCTTTGCACTTTTCAAAATCACAGACTATAGATATTCAGCAAGAACATGATTAGTGTATCGGCATTTGTATTATATCATAGGAAGTTACCTTTTCCAGTTTTATAAGATTAGCAGTTAACTCATCACAAAGCGCATCGGCATTAACTTGCAGGTGAGATCCCAAACCTTGGCGCACTGGATGTCTGTCAAACAGAACGAAGAAGTTAAGTGTGACAGAAGTGAAAAAGAAGAAAACAGAACTGAGAGATACATGTAGATGGGGATACAGTGGTGACATTGTGAACTGTACTTGTTTACAGAAACAAAAGCCTAAGTCACTTCTGTACTCTCGACTACATTCTTTATGTGGTCTCATTCTCCAGAAGTTGGATGGAAAACTTTACAGCTATTTACACTGGAAATAAGTTGACAAGTTGCGTAAGTTCCATGTCCTGTGACTGAGGAAATCAAGAAGTCCAACCCCTTGACTCTGTAGAAGCGAATACATCATCCTGTATCTTGTACTGTTTGGGATCAGAACAACAGAAAACAGGACTTTCTCACGTAAGAGTGAGAAGAGGGACACAGCGTCCTGCTAATAAAAACATGCCAAACTTGGGAAAATGGCTTTTGACAATGCATACTATTAGAGGCAGATTTACCCCCTCCTTGCATTACTGGCAAAATATAAATGCAAGCTTGTTTAAGATAAAGAAGCATTTCCTTCCTATTCCATTTTTACCAAGAACCTAGCTCTGTCATCTGACAGATGCATACAAGTCCTACGGTTTTCCACAGAAGACAGCTGAGAGCAGTTGGATCCTAAGCAGCACAGTCATTGTTCAACATGACCACAAGTGCATTGTCAGAGTGACCTGTTTGTAATGGATGGATCATCAAAGAAAGCTGAGTTAACAAGCACACTTATTCAAGAGCTTGCTACAGGTTTGAAACACTTTGCAGACAGTTCCACCCAGCCTGGGTACAGCTCTGTCTTGAACCGTATTTTCCCCCTCTGTTTTTCAGGTGGTGCTTCTCCAGCTGTCAGCATTCCCACTCATGCTGCATATGGCTGCTGGTTTTGCACTGAGATTTACAAATGACTTTTGAAGCTATGTTTTTCAGAGCAGCTCAGAAAAAAACCCAGTTATAAGAAGGGGAGGAGTTAATGCAAAATTTAATGCTGAATAAACTGTTTAGTACTCTTAGCAGTATCCAGTTAATTGCCTTCTGTCCTAAGAGAGGAACAGGAAGCTGATACAACTAACAGTGGCTTACTGCTGTGGTGTATGCCCCTGCACTGCTTCTCCATTTGATAGTTGCATATTTCCTATCCATGCAACACAGAGATTAAAAAAAAAAAATAAAATATGCAGGGGCAGATGGCATCCACCACTTCACCTACCGAATGGAACTATCTAGGGAACTATGGCTCCTTTCCCTATTTCCTCTTCAAATACACAAAGAACTTTCCCTTGGTGTGTCTGGATTTTTTTGTGTGTTTTGTTTTGGTTTTGTGGTTTGTTGGTTTTGGTTTTAATTTTTTTTTTTCATTTTAGCAAGACAGTATAGTAGCTTCTAAAGAGAGTATTAGGCAGCCTGAAGGTTTAGAAAACATACAATCAAGTCAGATATATTAGCCCAAAGACTACGAAGTACCTTCTGTCATCTTAGGCTAATCAAATAACATTAAGACTGAAGACAGAAGTTATACCTTTTCAATAGTATCATTGCTTTTGAAAGGACCTTCTCACTTCAGCAGTTTACACTGAAGTTACAGCTATCTGAAACATTCTCAAGGCAGTAATACGTGATATATCACATTTGTACTAAAAGTCTTAAACAGAAAGGTGTGAGACGAGACTAGCACAGATATAAGAATAATAGAACACTGTAGTGCCCTTGTGGGACTTCAGTATCACAGTGGTTTCTGAAGAAAATAGACGACCATGACAGATACTGGAAAAAGATTTCAAAGCCCCAGAATTTTACAGAGTGTATCTTACTCCTTTATATGTGACTCAAATGATGTGATGGAAATAAGGCGTTCCTCCAGGACACTGATTTTGTATCTCATGTAGAAGGTAGAAAATATTAATACACAAACACTGAAAGAGAGAAAAATAAGGCACACCAGTTAATGTAAACTTTAGAGGTACTTGACAAATTTAATGTTAAAAGCCATTTAAATTGTTACTTATATATGTTGAATAATAAAAGTATCATTCTTAGAAACACCTCAGGAATACCCATCAGTGGCATTCAGACAGTTATGAAAATTTCACCCTTGAATATGGCTTTGCTAAATGACATGTAAAATGAACTTGCAAGTAGTTAAACTCTTTTAACATTTCCTGAACCAAAATACCCTTTGCTTTTAAAAGGCCTGTAAAGTAAACTTGCCCTGGCATTTCTTCTTCTGAAAAGTATAAAGGCCACAATTCCCAATAATTTCCTTTTTTCAAGTGAATCTTAGATTGTATTAATATATGTAAATATAAGAAAATCCTAGTATTTTGACAACCTTGGTATTAATTGCTAACTTACAGAAATGCGTAAAATATAAGTATATGGTTCAGAGATAGGAGCTTCTGGGACTTCACTTTGTGGAAGAACTTGAGGGCTTCAGAATGGCCTGCCAGAAAAAGAACAAGTGTTACTTTGACCAGAGCAGACCACAGCACACAAACAGTATTTTGAAGCATGCAACAGATAATACAAATAGAGGGATAAACAAGAAAGAGATCTTCCAAATTATATGAACTGATATAACTATGCAAACTTAACTTACTCCACCTGAAGATCTGCCCTTGACTCCTTACCATTTCGAGGAATGTTTCGGGCTTTTCCATCAGGTCCACGTTTACTGTGTGCATCTGAACGGACAGACTTTGCCTCAGCCTTGGAAACTTTCAAGTGAGTCTGTGTCTCAACGACATGATAATCTGTCAAAAGTAAGATTTGTAATAAACCTGAAATATGAAGTCAAAGGAAGTTTTTGGTAGCTTAAATTAGTCAAGGAGTAGGGGAAGAGGAGGCTTTTAAAATCTGGACTGAGATAGAAAGCACCAGTTGGTTTAGTAGCCTTAAAGAGTTTCCACAGTAATTCCACATCATCACAAAATATAAAGAAGAACCCGGACTGGAAGAGCATGATGTACACTGCACTTACATTTCCAGATCCTTTGAAAGATGGCAACCTATGCCAACTTTGAAGGTTATCACTGTATTTCCAGTCAGAAGATTATACAGACACAAAAGTCATCTCTCAAAAGGACTGAATATGCTAGAGTAATGATTCCATATGACTTTAATAGCAATATCAAATGGAGATATTGCATTGTTACTTTAAAAAGGAGATTATAGCTCCCTTTTCTGACTGTTTTTTAAATGCAGATGATGTCTTGAAAGACATGGGACAGAAAAACCCAGTCATGCTCAGTTTTATTCATGTCTTACTTGCACACCCTGGACTGCTCTAATGATGCACAAGAAACAGAATCACAAGTGTTAGGCATGTTCACCCCCACCCCTCAATTCCTTTTCCTAGGGTGATTCTTTAACTGGATATTGTTTTTTTACTTGTGGAAAAGGAAAATTGAAAGGTCTGAAGTAGCTATTAGCTGTAAGGAAGTAAGACAGACAGTTAAATCATTATTCAGAAGCATTCATGTGGCAAGTGATGACACCACAATTTAGTTACTGCTTTACAGACACCACCAAACAATTAAAAATACACACACAGTAAATACCAAAGACCAATGAAAGCAAATAGCCCCAGATCATACCAGTGAACAAATAAACACAGGAAAAAAGAAGAGTTAATTAAAACAGAAAAGTGCTATTAAAAATTATAGTATTTAATTTAAAAGTAATGGCAAAAGTTTCTTATTGTACAAATTCTTTTATAGTCAAGATGGAACCTGAAGTAATAACAGCATAACAACACATTAATATGTTAATATATATTAATTGTACAGCAAAATAATACCCTAGGGTTTGCTAAGAACATTCAGCATGTGCTACAGAAAACAAGTTCTATTGTACTTATATAAGAATACAAACAGTAGTGTTAAGAACCAACAACTTTGGACAGTATCTTCAAGTGTCTTAATAACTGCAAAGAATAAAATAAGGGTTTAAAAAACAAACCCACAAAAACAGATGTCAAAAATAACTTTTTTTCATGACCAAAAGCCATCATGATAAAGAATGTTATTTGTATAGAGTAGAAGAACTTACACTGTGACTTGAACTACCTTTAAAAACTTTGTTTTTCTTTTTTTTTTTGAAAGGAGGAGACTGTCCTGCATTGTATCTCTGTAGCATAACTGATGGGGCATGTGGGGAGCAGATAGTACATGGACAAGCAACTGGAGGCAGTAGTGACTAATCAGATCTGCTGCTGACCAAGTCATTGTCTGAGTCTGGATTGCAAAGGGATATAATAACAGAAATGCAGCTATTGTGGCTTTCAGCAAGACCTTAAAAAAACGTGTAATTCTCCAGGATTGTGGAGAATGTAGATTCCACATCAGGAGGGGATTACAGAAGCAAAACTGAGAGCTAAACCATTCCCATTTTCTTGGGGCCCCACAATCCTACTCACCTTGGAAGCATTCCAGCTCTGGGGTCTGTGAGCCTGTGCTGCTGGACTCTTCCATCTCTTGTCTCCGCTGCTGCACTATTCCATCCAGATCAGAATAGTCTTCATTGAAGTCCTGATGGGGAGAAAGAGTCACACGAAAACTCATCCTTGTTCTAAATCTAAACAACCTTATTTCCTCTGACCTCCCTCGAGAAACCAAACTAACAATTACAGATTTAAAACTATTTAACCACGAACAATCTCTGATATCAAGATGTTGAGATCAAGTTAACAAAATAAGCCCCGTATGATCCCCAGACTTCAAGCCTCATCTTCTGCCTTCCTTTAAGCAAAGAGATTTAAGTCTGTGTGCAAAGTAAAGACTGTTAAACTAGACAAACTAAGAAGTCCAGGGCAGGCATTACTAGAATTAAGACTGGTCATCACATGTGGCTACACAGGTCTTTCAAATGTCTGAACTGGTTCACAGAGGAAGGATTGCAACTAGAAACACTTCAAGAACTGCTCATGGCAGAGGAAGAAGCAACTTTAAGTCAGTACAGAGCGTGAAACCTGACTGCTGAAGAGAGATACATAGAGCACACAGACTTTGGAATATATCCAACGTATACGCATGTGTATATACTGCATGTGATCAGATCAAATTACACTTATGCCAATCACTCCCACTGCTTTGTATTGTTAAAAAACTCATGGAAGTTTTAGAAACAGATGTAACGATTTCCTTCAGTTTCTTTTCTTCAGACATTTTAAGTAGTACTTGCAATGAAAGGTGCCATGCAACAAAAAAGCATATATCTAAGCCACTTACTAAAGGCAGAGCTGAAGGACGATCAGCCCTGAAGCTGTTTTCTGCAGAAGAGGGATTTGGACTGTTGCCCATGCTTGTATCCTGCAGAAAGAAACATTAAGAAGGAACACACTCAGAAACTACCTAGCATTTAAAAGCAGAAAAACAGTAACAATGAACACAAAACCACTTACATCTTCACTCCCACTAGAACTCACCTCAAGATGTCTACAGATAGATTTTAATAGCTTGTAGGTGGTATCTCTGGAGAGTAAGGAGACAAACATGTACTGAAAAACAAAAGTTCCCAAACTGTTTGAGAAAAGGCATACAGTACAAGCTTCCTTTTATGTAAATAAAGCTGATAGGTGGTTTTGCTGATGAAGTAACTCTTTTCAAGAACTTCTGTATAGCAGGAAAAACCTCCACTCCATCTACACCTATGACCTGAGGTTAATCACAAGGAACACAGAACAGGCACGTAAAAGTTACCATGTTCTGCTGCAGGAACCAGAGCATACTCTGGATCTGCTCTTTTTTAAAAAAGACTTTGCATACCATGTTTTAGGTACCCCTTAAAAAAAAGAACAAAACAAAAAAACACAACAAAACAAACCCAACAAAAAAACCAATTTGTTTTTTGTACAGTCTCCTGCATCCACAATACCAGTTGTTTCTAAAGCTGCTCTTAGGATAATCACATTTTCTACCGATTGATGCAATTGCTATTCCTGAGTGTCACTGTAGGCAACTGTATTTTGTGTATCTAAGGTATCACTGGTCAGGTAAAAGACCCAAGTAAACCAAAGAACACTGTCAGAGCTGCCAACAAGGCAGGTAACCCTCTGTGAATGCACTTCCAGGTGTTTCAGTTCCCCCAGTGCTACTACACAGCAGTCCTGGAGAATGGGGAATGACAGATTACAGAAAACAGGTGGCAACCAGAGATTCCATTTCTTATTTTCTCACCAAGCTTTGTTCTCACATAGCATTGTTTACTGTAGATCCAAAGAAAAAAGACAGGGAGTTAGTAAGAGGAAAAAAAAAAAAGGTCCTTGCCTGCCACAAGAGAGGAGGCAGAAGAAGCTAGGATCATCCTCTAAGAAATCATATCCTGCAGGGTCCTAAGTCTAAATGCCCACAGGCGACCAATTCCTATAGCTGTTAAAAGTGGCTACTTGGCACTTTCAAGAATCATTCATATTACTGCCAGTACGGAGGGATCAAAAAAAAAAGTAGAAAAAAATGAAAAAGAAAGCAGGCAAAGTATAATAGCTTCGCCTTCTATCAGTACTTACCCTATCTGTGACTGTTGCTATGATCAGAGCATTTGGCACAAGAAGGGCAGTTTTGGTTTTCTTTAGAAGTGTCACTGAGAGTGCAGGTATACTAATCTGAAACAAGATCAATGTAGTGTTAGGGACCCAATACACACATACAAATCTGCATGCACTTTCACAAGGAGTCAGCCTACCAACTGTGATAAGCCAGACCTTCAACACTCTTCATTTTAAGATTTCTCCACTATGTCCCTGATTAATAATATTTCACATGGAACAGGTATGATTTCAGATTATTACTATTTCTTAACTATTTTTACTTCTGGTTTTATCAGATGCCAATCCAGGCTTTTGTTTGCATCTTTCTTTCCTGACCCCTTCCAGCTCTTACAAGACTACAAGCTTAGTTCACTGTAGATCTGCAGAACAAACCAGTCTTAAAGCTAGGCTTCTTTGTTTAGAAACAAAACATTTCAGAATGCATCAGACAATAGAGGCTTGTTGAAGAATGAACATAAGTCTTCTCACCACTTACAGATCCTTTGGTCACAACAAGCACCTGAGTAAACAACTCATCCTTCAGTAACGTTGAAAGATCCAATACCCACACACCCACTGACTTACTTAAACTGATTCCTCTGTGTGCCAGCCAGACTGTCTACACTTAGATTGAAAAATTCTCAATTTTTCTTCCTGCTTTGTGTTTACATCCAACTGCATTAGCTTAATGACTGCTAAGTTTCAGAATGTTTCACTTCAGATATTCCGTATGGACTTTTTCTGTAAACCCTGTATTACAAAGGACCCAATATGTGGTTTGACTTTCAGTTGAAACGCCTTGAGCTTAGCAAGTTAGGCAAAAACAATAATCTTGGATACACATAATTAAGATACAGCTCCTGTTAAAAATTCCTTTGGCACACACTGTCACAACTACCTGAGAAACTTGGAAGCAAGATTAAAAGTGTCCGAAGATCTCTGTGCAGTTTCATAAAACCTTGTTAACTTTTGTTCAGGATAGCAACACAAAGTCATAAAATGAAAGATTGTTTCAGGTAGCAAAAAATGTATTTGCGTACATGAGTCTGGGTGCAAGATTGTCAACCACTGCCGAAGCATGGCCAGTCAAGTATCTGCTTGTCATCTATGGGCTAGAACGTTTCTTTACTCCGTACGTAGTTTCATCAAAAAAGTGTGTTAGCAGGAAAAACCAACCCAACATAAAGCATATAATTTGAATTATTCTTAGTCCCAGCCCTGGGCTTAAGAATCTGTAAATCTGGTCATAATTTGTTCTATTGATTTTTTAAATTGTCAACTCTATTTGTCCTGCTTCAGAAGCCATGTCTTTTGAAAAAAGGTAATTAAACTATATATTTTATATAGTTATATATAAGTTATTAGTTTATATATATGCTTTCTATATATAAACTAAAATAAACTGTATATTTCTTCTTAAACTGGACATAGTATCACAAAGTTTTTGCAACACTTTTCAAAACAGCTTTTTCAGGGAGTGGAGAGAAGGGAGCAGCTACCATGTGTGTTTGGCAGGAAAAATCCGGAATCCTTGGGTAGCCAGAACAGAATCTTTAAAAAAACCCAAAACAACAAACCAAAACAAAAAGAAACCCGAAGAATTTCCAGCAGAAATCCTGCTAATCCTAGTGATTAAAGAAGTGCTTAGAAATTTTCTAATTGGTTCAGTTCACCTCAAAGAACTTTAGATCAGAGATGTTAATGGCATTCTACTGCATGCTATTTTGATGGATAACATTACTGTAATCAAGACTAACGTGTACTTAAGTGGGATTAAGTACTTGCTTACTGCACCGTTACCCCAGCATTAGCTTAAAATAGTAAAATCACTTCAAAGTACTTTAGTTCTATCTGGAGTAATAATTATTTCAGGAAACAAGGTTTACTGGCAGGCAACTTGGAAAGCAACTAAAATGCTTAAGAAAATGCTTAGCTCCAGGAAAGACTCAAGGCCAATACATAGAGCCAAAACAGAACTATCTGGAAAGACAGTGATGTCTTTCAAAGTCTGTTCAATCCTGCAGAAGCAATCTTTTATTTCTGAATATGCACAGTGCTTACACTGCAGACTCAAATCTCCTGACTTGTATGGCTATTCCCTCCAACAAATTTTTCAATAAAAAAAAAATCTGCAGGTAGAAGAATTCATCTTGAAAAATTTAGAGTGTGTAGACCTGCTGTTTCTCACAATAAAACACTATCACAAAGCTTAAACTGTTTTACAAGTTCTAATCAATAGAGTTCTCTTTTTTTTTTTTTTTGGTGGCTTTGTCAGTGTATCTGACTGCTAAGAGTGTTCCTCTTACTGTTAAGCTTGATTTCTTCTTCTCCCTCCCATTACATTATTTTTCATTATATCCCTGATTTTCCTGCTCTTTTGTTGATGGTATTCCTAGAAACTTGTGCCTGCTGTATTGACTGAACAAGGCTTTAAATGTTTGTTGCAGGGGTAGGGGAAGACAGCTGGAAGTAAATGATCAGGCCTATCCCCTTCACTCTTTTCTCCGCAATGTTTTCTGAAAACATTGATCCAGAATTGAATAATTTGGGATATCGCTATAGCCACATTTACAAATACTGTCTACTCTACCCTATCTTGTAATATATGTTTTCCTTTTTCACGGCATACGTGAATACGTCTCTATTCCTGCATTTAAAACCCTGTCGACAAAGATAATTTCTTAGTACTATACCATTATCATTCTGCGTCTCTTTTTTCAGGTCTTTCTAGCAGAACTCTACCAAGTAGACCAGATTTTTGTATACATTTAGCTTAGTTTGAATTTAGAAAGCTCTCCCACAGTTTAAGTAGCCACATTTGTTTGTGGTGAACAGGAGACTTCTAGTACAGCCACTTAAATTTTAATGAAACTAATTGCCAAGATAACTAATTATGAATGATAGTACCTAATAATTTGTTAATTTTGATTTCCTTGTTTGTGCCACATGGCACACATCATCTGCATTAATGTACTGCCTATGACTAACAGAATCTATTAACTAGGAATCAGTAATAACTCAGTTTCTTGGGTCAAGCAGTAAAACATAACAACACATAGTTCATACTGACCTTCTGGGTTGTTAATAATTTTAAGTGTTCTTTAAACCTATTCCATCTTCTTAAAATCCCTTTCAAAGATAGATGGTGTTCTGTCAAAATGGTTGACATCAGAGAAATAAAACACTGTCAACTCCTGAACTGGTTTCAGTACCCAATTCACAGACAAAGTTCCTGGATCTAACCAGAAACTTTGTTCAATGAAGTACTCGAGAAAGAAGCCAAAGGAATCTTCGCAGCAAATTGAGCTGTTTCCCAATAAAAGCTCACAACCAAAGCAGAGTTCATGTGAACAAAGAAAACCACCCCAAAAGCTCCAAATCAACAGAAGTAGAACATTTTTTTTTTTAAAGGTTTATTTTTATTTGTATGGATATCATTCCGCACAGGGGCCCAAGCCTTAGGTGGGTCATATCTGCACCGAGAAACAGTAAATCTTCTAAATTAGGATCTTCCTGATTGTTCATGTCCCATTTCTGCTTTTCATAGTAGGCCCACAAATAAAAATCTAGCAAACTGTTTTTTCTTTCCCCATCCTCTGTTTATGCCGAAAAGGAGTGCTAGAAGAATCCCTCAAAGACCTTTGCCACTCAACTCAGAAGTCAGTTTTAGTTCTTCCTCTTTAATTGTCTTAATATGCTTGATTGTTCCCTCCAGTTCCCCAACTACATTCTTGTAGTGCTTATACTTTTCAGCCTTCTTTCCTCCTCCTCCTCTTTTCCATACTTAAGCCAAGAAAGACATTTTTGTACAGTTTGTGCTACATGGGCTTGGCAACACCCTCACCACTGCATGTCAGATCCTTTCCTTTCAACTATTTTTTCAGACAGAAAGTCCTTAAGAGAGAGACTCGATCTTTAATAATAATAATAGTGTTGCAGTTCTAAAGTGACTTTCAGGCATCACTTCTGAACAGTGGTTGTACTCAGAAGTATTAGTAGTATTCCAGCTTTGCATAATAACGTGAACTTCTGGTGATGAACAAATTGTTAAGGAATAGCATTACTGTTCTGTACATAGAGATTTTTACTAACCTTAGTGTCTTTACCAAAAACCTTGGAATGGAAGCAAATCCAGTTTTCAGAAAGGAATAACTTTCCTTGGTACAGAATTTCTTTCTGCAGAGCACAGGTAAAACCTGAAACAAATACATACTCTATAATCTTTAGGGTAACCACAACCCAAGCCAACTGCAATCAATTTGGCTTTTGTTTTGCTCTTTTTTAAAAGCCATAATATGTTTAGGTTTATACCTTTTGATAAACACTATCAAATCTTGAAATATTCAATACGTTTAACTAATAATGACAAGCTCAGTAGATTTCACAAGCCTAAGTTTAGACTCAAAACGTCTGAAAAACAAAGACTCAAAGGTATAGTAACATGCAACTGGCTCCCAGAAACCAAGAAACCTTCCTGAGAGAGTACCACTTAGCTTCCTATAAACTGTTTTACTAGCTTTCAAGTAACTATATTATGTAAATGTAAAGAGATTAATGAAAGATTTTAGCTTTTAACTTTTAGATCTATAGCAGTTGTCTCGACTAGATGACCAAGAGAGGTACAACACATGTAAAGTAATAGTGCCTTTATTTCATAGCCATTGAGCAAACCACTTCTCACTCATTAACTGCTTTCCTTGTGTTCCTTTCAAGAAACATTTGTTATACACTATCTATGTAGACTTCACTAAGTACCACAGAGAACAGCAGAATCTTTAAGTCCTTCTCCTATGTTGAGAGATATTAATTGTTTAGCTTATATAAGTTTTAATTAGAATAAATCACTTAGGGTTATAATATGGTGTGATTTATGCCGTGTGCCTAGCTTAACTTGAGTAGCTAGATTTGCTGCAGCCTTTACACCACAATAGAGTTAATTTTCTTAGTAATTTTCCTAGCAGCTGGTACAGTGCTGTGTTTAGTCTTTTAGTATGAGGAAAATGTTGATAACACACTGTTTTGGTAGTGTTTTCCCTAAGTACGGGACTTTTCCATTCCCCACATTCTGCCAGGGAACACAGGTGCTCAAGAAGCATAAACCAGAAGATAAGGAGGTGACAACTAACAGCAGAGACTGCAAATCAACAAGGTGAGAGCAGTCAACGGCTGTCTGGCCTTGACACAGGAAAAAGAACCCAAGAAGGTGTTAGAAGACCCCAGACCAAAAATGACATTGGACTAAATGACGTGTGAAGAGTGGGTGAGGGGCGGGTGTATAGATCGCATGGGGGTCATTGACGTGTTAGAAGACCCCAGACCAAAAATGACATTGGACTAAATGACGTGTGAAGAGTGGGTGAGGGGCGGGTGTATAGATCGCATGGGTGTCATTGCCCAGGGGTTTCTTCATTCAAGGTCCCTCTCTAGAGGCACCCAGCCCAGGCTGACCCTGCTGCTGTATCTTTCAATTAAATTACTTATTTTTATAAAATCCGACACCTGAGACTCCGCTGCCGGAAATCGATGGTTGAGACTGAAGAAGGAGGGAGTGCACCCAACAGTGTGTGTGTGTCACACAGGGGTCACCTGCTGTGGACGGACCCTGGTTCCAGCAGGGAAAGACTCGGGTGGCGTGTGTGCAACTCTTTGAAAGGTGTGTGAATGCTCAGGGAGCAGCTTCTGCTTTAACATCCTACCAGTGTTTTTAGGTCTTAAAGCATCAACAACAGGAAAAACTCAAGCTAGCCACTTGGCCAGTGCCGTCTCAATTAAGGAGTGTCTTTAGTAAGAAAGCTTCAGTATCAAAAATAACGTTGCACTAGGTTACTCTGCTAGGAAGTGCAAAGCAGGCTACAATTCCCAAAGATGTCCCACATCTGATCATTTAAGTTTTGCAAGATTACAACAAAAACACCCACTGCATGCAGATTAATGCCTTGTGGCTCTAGGCGGCTGGAGTTTAAGCTTTTTTAAATTTAGGTAGTCCCTCTTGTACATCACCACAGTTGGCAGATAACAACTTTATCTTAGGTCCACAGCCAGTAATGACAAGGGGGTTAATACTTACTTTGTTTCAGTGGCTCATCAATGGGAACATCTAGAAACAGCTTATGAAAGTGTGCATTTGCCTTCAGCTAAAAAACAAAAAGCCCCACACCCAGAGACACATACCTTATTAGATATTCTTACAATCAAGCGACCCATTCCACTTCCTGTTCTCCCAATACCTTCTTACTTTACCCACTTCTTTTATAATAAATCCTCATTTTTGCTATGTAGTTATTAAGTCTGTATGCTGCTTTACCCAGACTCTAACATACTGATGAAAAAGGAACCTATGTCCTTATACAACCACGAACTATAATATTGCTAAACAAGGGGGCTCTCTCGGTAGTTTTGTATTTACTCTTAGTATATATAAACAAACAAGTCCATCCTCTGCCCTACCTGATTTGAAGCACGTTTTTTCCTTTCAATCTTGGACTCACTCTTGATGTCCATTGTCAGGAGTGGACTATCTGTGCTGCTCTTTGTCCTGAGGATTAAAAAGGCATCCCATATAAGCTTGACCTTAGTTCATTAGTCTTGGTGAGTTATCAACAGGACGTTATTTTCCATGAAACATATTAATCCTTTAATAACTATTATCTGATTCATCGCGGATCATGTAGTGATAAAGAGGAGTATGTCATATTCTTAAACCATGCCAGCCCTCACTGAAAGTCTTCTTCGAATTTAGAAGGAATATTCTAAATTCCCAGTTGTAAGGAAGTGAAAAAAAGTTTAAGACATTTTTACAACTTAATGAATTATCACAGTGCTTAGCTTTGTGTTTGTTTCTGGTCAGCATGCGAATACCAATGCTAAGCATGTAACTTACTAATACAATATAAAGTAAGATAAAACTTAGTAGCTGAGAGTGCAACTTGTACTACAAAATGTGAGATGATTTGGAAAGTGCAGCAGAGAAGAAACATAGGTGCACAAGTCAGAGGATGGCTATGAACTGTGCAATGTAGTGTAATGATATCATTAAGATAGCAAGCAAACCTAGAAGAGATGAAAGGGAATTGTGAGGGCCAGTTGCATAGGAATCTGTACCTGTATAGATCTAGCCATTCATATTGGAAAAAGAAAACCAACCAAAACCCTAACAACTCTAGAGTACAAGTACAGAGGAAAGTCTCTGCGGATGGCTGGGAAAATAACTTTTGTTTTACATAGGAGAAATTAATGGCATGGACTGTTCAGAAAAACAGAAACAGAGGTGGGATAACAGTGTTTCATAAATCAGGAAGAGAAGAATATTATTCCTGCGCGCTATTTAGCACAGAACAGAAGCATACCAACACGCTACAAAAATAAGGTAGCTCTTTTTTTAGAGGCCTTCAGATGCAGACTGAAGAACAGAAGGAAAAACAAAACACAGCACTCCTACACTGAATGACCTGATGAACATGTTGTGCTAAAGATTCAATACGGAAAGAAAGGTGCTACAAAATTTTCCATTATGGCACCTTATCCTGCACAATAAGTCTTCTTTACTTTCCTAAACTTGAGAGGTTCAGGATTTCCAGTGAAAGGGTGAGAGGAAGAGAACCCACAAGTACAATGGATATACAGATGGATTTAGGAGATTGTACAGCAGGACTTATTTAGATAGCAGGGGGACTTGCTGCATATCTCAAGTGGTCCCCCACAGAAGAAAACTCTAAAATACATGTGTATATGTATTTGTGTGCCTATGTGAAGTACAGGTCAAATTGAAATGAACAGTGAGCCTTACAAAAACTTATGCCAACCCCTCACCAGCACACAGTTAATTACATTGTTTGTGAGAGGAAAGACTGGATGGAGAGTTTGCAACAACAACAACAAAAAAAAGTAATCCCCTATTTCTTCAGCTTGCTTCTCCTCAAAGATGCTTCAGGAAATTAAGTGATGTTTTTTAAACATCTGCCTCGTGAACAAAACCACAGCGTCAGGTAGACTGCTGACTTCTGCACTGGCTACTCAGTCAACAAAGTGAAAGGGATGCAAAATTTTTATTCAAGCCGTCCAAGTAGGGTGTTAGTATTATTTAATTTTCTTTTAGAGGGGTTTCAAATGCATTCCAGTTCCCCAACAAAGGAAGAATGACTGTTTTTGCAGAGACATTGCAATCATCTGATGCAATATACAGCACAGAGAACAAAATTAAAACTTTTTTCATTGCTTTACCACGGACAATCAATATTCCAGCACAAAAGCGTTCTGGGAACAGCCTAGGACCCAAACTGCAGCTCAGTTTGACTGCCTGTCAAATTAACTGTGAAAGGGATGTAACTAGCAGTGGCACCAAACAGTGCAATATATTTTTTTCCTGGAACAGGGAAGCTGAGCCAGCCCAAAGTCTGAATTCCCACTATTCTGACTGCTTGTAGTCGGTAACAGAGCAACCCCTGGAAGATGGCTCAGATTCCCGTTTACTTGCACACTGTGCAAGCGAACCCACAACTGGGATGTTGTATAAATCTTGCCACTCAACGTAGCTTGAGTAGGCTGTAACCATTCTAATTATCTGACTAGAAGAAAATTGACAGCTGTCGTGGTTTGGCCTCAGCCAGCAACAAAGAACCACGCAGCCGCTCGCACAACTCCCACAGCCGTGGAAAAAGAAATCGTCAGGGCCAAACTCGGGGGTTAAAAGAATGCAATTTAACAGAACAGCACAAGGAAAAGACGAAAACGTGATTACAGTACCGCCGCGAAGCGCACCGACCGCACCCGCACCGCGGCAGCCCACCCCCGAGTGGCGACTGCTCTTCTCGCCCCGGCTAGCGCCTCTTATAGCCCGGGCATGGGTCATGTGGTATGGAATACCTGCCCCCTGCCGGCTCCGGGGGAGATTAACCCCATCCCTGCCGCAACCAGGACAACAGCATTTCTGACATTACCTAGCAACATCAACTTTTTTCCGGTCATCAAAATATTCCATTTCACTGGTAGGGGTCTGCAGCAACACAGTAGGCGATTTTCCTGCCTTTCTTTTTTCATCTGTTCCATTTTCTCCATCTGAACTGCAGAGGAGGGAAAAAAAAAAAAAAAGTAAATCTGTACTGCAGGATTCATACCAATGTCAAGTGCCACTGCAACATGTTGACAAATACAGCACATATTAAAGAACAAAATTATGACATATCTTTTATAGTAAGGTCCTGAAAAGTCTTCATCTACTGACTTGACAGTATCATACATCTGAACAGCATTCTGAGCTCCAGTATTGGAATTTGAGCAATGAGGGGAGGAAAACTGAAATACTGCCATGGATATTTCAGCACTCAAAATTTGTAGCTGTAGCTTCCGTTCCAAAGAGAATGCCTTGCTTAGGAAAAATGCATTTCATGTTCAGTACTCAGATCTGATGACTAACGGAAATTAATTTGATTGGCAAGTTGGGAGAAAAACATCCTGCATGACAGTACCTAGGACTTAGCAGATTATTTGCGGCTCCAGATTGTAATAGGAAGCTGGGTCCTATTTTGTCTCTCGCTTACCTGTTCTGTGAGAGTCTATCTGCAGGTCTTTCCACAATAAAGGGTCCTCTCAAAGTACCAAAAGTGCTGGTTTCGTTTTACAAAAGCGGCACTTCCACCACAGTGCGCTGCCCTTTCACAGCACATGCCACTGCCTCAGAAATATCTGTTAAGGAACTAGAGTCTGAGAGCTAAGAGGTGTGCCAACCTGGCTTCCCGTTTCATAATTTTCTAATAAAATGTTAGCTCAGAAAATTTAGAGGAAAAAGCTGTCATTAATAGCAGGGTCTGAAGAATGACAACACTTTAAAATAAGACATGACAAATACATACAAACACACTCCTTTGGAAGAGCAAAGCCTCAGAAAGACTACAGGATGCTCTTAGCATTAAAGAAGTAAGCTAAACTATGTTGCCTGTTAATTTAATGCCTGGCCTGAATGACCCCATTTACAGAAGCTTTCCATTATAAAGTTTAATTTCTGATATTTTATGGCAACAACACAGCCACTGCCATCATGTGACAGTGTCTTTACAGTTTCGTCTCCTACCAAGACAAAAGTTTTGGTGGCAGAGATTCCCAGACTAACTTAATATATTTTCTTTTAGGAAGGACATAAAAAGCTCCATTGCTTTGATTACACTTTGGTGACTGTGATCAGAAGATACACTTCACAACATCTTAACTGAGATATAATGAGGTGGTATCTTACCTCGCAGCTAAGCTACACCTTATGCCACAGGACAAAAGCCATGGAGCTTTGCCTTACTGGTGCTTGGATTTGTTCTCAAGGGGTCTTATGCTTACAAACAGCAACTGTTCTGCTGTCTAATCTTTCCTCAACCCTTAGCGCTCCCCACCACAGGCATACTGAATTGACACTTTCTAATTCACACTTTGTGTATAGCTGAAAAGGTTACAGCACTAAAAGCCAATGAGGAAAAAAACAATTGTTTCCCCATTGCTTCACTTTTGGATCAGCTCTGCCTGACCACAAGGCACCAGCTTTTACTTTCAGCCAACATAAACTATAATTAAATGGGCAATTCAAAAAATTCAGGCGGAACACAATCTTTTGCCTGAAAAACACAAATGAGCAGTCTTACGCTGTTTGAGATTTTAAGCAGAGAACTGCCAAACCAAGGTGCACCCTGCAAGCATAGAGGAGCTTGTATTCCAAAAGTCTGCGAATATCTTCATCACAGTCTTGCTACCTTTTATTTTTCTGTTCCCCAAATTCTTGGGCTTCAAGGGAGGCCAGCGAATGCCAGACATGATTGGGACCAGGAACGGGGTGATGCAAAATTGTCAGGTTCAATCACACTTGCATTTCAAAAGAGCAGCACAGCATGGAAACTCTCAAATGAGTAAGACTACATGACACAGCAGTATTTTTAAGATGTAGCTACTTGAGCCTGGACCCTGACTGGCTGTCTATCATTGCCCTGGGCAGCCTGCTATTCTTACACAGCAATGCTATCCACTGATCAAAGCAGCTTGTGTCACACCCACACCTCCATACTACCTAGAACACAGGTCTTAGTGTTCACTTACACCTGCCAGTGCGGTTAAACGCTTTATTTACTTGCCACTCATGCTCCCTTCTCCTTCACTCATAAATTAACCCCCACTTCGAAGTTAAACCTATGGGCCTGTTCTATCCTGTTTGTCTTACCTGTTAACCACTACTATTCCAGAACCTCTGCTGTCTGAACTCCTTCCCCCTAGCTGCTTTCAGATGGCAGAGGGCTAGGGCATCTCAACACACTAATCCTGATGACTGTTGCGTGCGGAAATGCTGAGCTATCTCATCCCAGCCTGGCACCCCAGCCTGGTCACCTCTCCGGGATCATCTTCTGCAGTTGAGAACAGGAATAACGTACCCAAACACAGCAAGAGTTTCCCCCCAAAACATCTCAGGCATGAGAAGTCTCACCTGTGTAACACATGTCACTGATGGTAGCAACTGGGTGTATTCCTACTAGCTGACAGTTTTTGCTATGTCTATCCTTCACCCTACCTCCTATATGCCCCCTTCACATAATGAAAAACTACAGAAGGATTTGTCCTTATACTTCTGATAACTACAGCTCCGCACAGCTTCTAAGTTTCTAGTAGGTGTCTTTAAAATATCACAAGAATCTTAGCTGACCTTCTGGAGAAGGAAAGATAAAAGGTATGACATAAGAACAGTACAATATTTTTCACCTTATCACAAGCAAATTAAAGTACTCCTTACATTTTCATGTGAGAGTCAAGATTCATAAATGCTTTGTAAACAGGGCACAAAAGTCAGCAATCCATGAAAAAAAAAGAATTAGATCAAGTGTACTTAAGAAACAAAGTGATGCACATTACAACTGTCAGCAATAGTTGCATATAAGTGAACTGTATTTGCAAATATCAGGGCAAAGCATGTAAACTTTGCGACACCAGGACTTTATTGATACGGAAATACTCATTTTTCAAATTGAATATATGTTGAGTATTTTGTACTACTACCAAGCCTATTAAAAAAAAGCTAGAAGAGAAAAAGAAAAAAGTTGTCTTTAGTTTCCAAATAAAAAACGGTTATCATAGGGAGTATTTTGAAAGCCAAGGATTGCACTTATACGGGATCATATCTTATATGTAAGCAAGTTAAAATAAACATTAGTTGCAAGCACTCACAACTAAACTTTTTGCAAGAAATGTTTCTCTTCCTTTTTTAAATATACATCAATAACTGAACTAAGTAATTTAAGAGTAAATCACAGAAAAAGGAAAGTGCTATGAAATACATTAACCAAGGCAGTGGACTAAGTTTCATTCTAATGAGGTGTTCAGAAGTACATTATTCATCAATGTATTTTAAAAGTCAGAGGAACTTCATCCCTTCTGATTTGAATGGTTTCTGTGAAATAAAAACTTTCTGACAGACAGGTGTGTCAAGTTCCTCATACTGCAGAAAGTTTTCTGAACGAAAAGGTTTTTCTTGTTTAGTACTAATCTTCTTCAGGACCTGAAAAATTCACACTTCCTGGAAAAATTATGCTGTGTTACATTAATGGGGATTTTTAAAGAGGAAAAAAAAATAAAGACAGTAAGGTAAAACAAACCTTAAAACCCCTGTTCCATTCAAAATTAGTTTGAATAAGAAGCAATGAACAGGAATAATGTAAGAGATGTGCCAGTAGGCCACAGTTTGGAAAGTGAGCCTTAAAGAACAACTGTTGTCTTTGGCAACCTCAGTATAGCCTTACCAGACATGAATACTTCGCAGCCATACGTAAGAGATATGAAAAACTCCAGAACTGTACAGTGGTTACAGTCTTTAATTCCCCACAACTACACAAACCTTTCTACAAAGCTTCCTCAGACCCATTCCAAAGGATACCCACGCTACTTGGTCTGCATGATAACAGGCTTAAACAGTTAAAAAGCCACAATAAGTTGCGACAAAGCTGTCCACAGGTTCACAAACTGCAGATCGGGAGGCAAAAGGCATCTTAAATAACCAGAGATGTTAGCTACAACTTCAATTGTTTGCAAAACTGCAGCCAAACCAATATTTCCCTAGGGTTTAATGTGAGTCAGCATTGCTGCAACAGTCCCTCTGTAGATGGAGTATACATATCGGATCATCATGTTACCTTAGAAGCCCTATTATCCTCCTTTGTCTCTTTTATACAAAAAGGATTAATTTTGCAACAGCAGTTAGACTGCTGTATTATTGCAAATGATCAACCAAATGAGTATGGAGTAATTTCTCTCCTACTATCCACAACCATGCTAGGTACAACATATGTAGAAAAATCCGTCACAAACACAATGACGTTCTGTATCTTTTGGTTCTGTTGCACAGCTATTGATTTACTGGGTAGCTGTTAGCAGACTGAAACGATTTGACAAAGGAATCAAAGTAGTGTGAAAGACTTTGGCAGGCTTAAAAGCAGTGGAGAGGGAGCAGGATGAAAAGATTTATCTAGGCAGCATCCAGCAGACATACCGGCAACATGCTTCAAGCACAGATGACTGCAAGGGCGTAAGATGAAATGTGCTAATGCTTCAAAGGACACCCTGCTAAGCATTCTGCAGACCAGAGGCCTCTTCAGCACAGACTGTCCTTGACCTACCACACCCCCGAAGGAGCAATCATCTCAACCTTCCTTTTGCTAGGCCTAAAGTCCTAAGTCTTAAACGTTCTTTCAGAAGGTATGTCCCATCATTCCACTAAACATCTTTTCTATGCCACACCAGACTGAAGAAACCTTTTTTGGATGTGTAATCAGAATCCAAAGCGCTTTATCTGATCAGCTTGCTTTCATGCCTTCCACAGTTGAGTTACTTCACCCCTGGACTGAAGAAAATACCTTTTCCATTGTAAACTCTCCTGCTGTCCTCTTCATAGCAGACTCAAGTGGTCTCTGCACTGAATAAACTAACAACAGTGCTCAAGTTGAGGATTTGTATATTGTCTGTTTCTACAAAGCCTGGTCACTCAGAGGCAAAATGCCTCCAGTACGTCTACAGCCATGCTCCAGTGTTACATGGCACACGGCAC